TCCAAACGCCAGAGATCCATTACTCGCTGTCGAGTAGCATAGCATACTCACACTATCACTACTCAAAAGAGATATCGTGAACGAATTCGTAAACCTTCTGTGCGCCTTGTTCATGTACTTCATTCTTTGCCAACCCTGATACATGTGCTACCGGTACGGCTTCGTGTCCCACAATCCGCAACTCTCTCCGATCGGATGTGCCTCGTTACCTAACTTTCTCATTAACCATTCTTCTGCATTCATTAGTCCCCATTTCATTCTGTTACCCATCAGTTCTGTTTTCGAAAAGTTGCAGGTGAATAGTCTGGATGGTAGCGTCAACAGTCTGGACACTGGTTTAGGTGGCTCCACCAGGGCCGCCGCCGCACAGAATGGTGCTACCACGTTTCCTGACCCAGTTTGGCCCGATACCTCAGTTCCGGCAGGGCGCCCTTTGGGTGCCGCCTCTGTCCCGCTCTCGGTCATGTCCTCCAACCCGGTTAGTGCCTTCGACGAAACACCATCATTGCGAGGGCAAGCCGTTTCTGCATTGGGGTTACCGATAGTTAGTGGCGATCCATTTCGTGACGCTGATCCATTTGCTACAACTTCAGGAATCCGAGATTTCTCTTCAGCCTTAAACGGTAATTCGTGTTACCTTTGTTGAATGCACTTATTTATTTCTTGACAAAATCCGTCAACATTTGTTTCTTCGTTCCCTTCATTTCTGGTGCATTGTGTTATGGTCCTTGGTTGCCCAGTCTAGTGTCTATCGGACCGAACCTATTTAAACCTTCACAATAGTGTTTATGACAGTACCGAGCGACGGGCATCCCGTCGATGTCGCCTCATCAGAACGCCTTCACTTGTTCGTGTACGCCGTTTCACTTACCGTTTCACATTGACCCATGCTATTTCATTTGAAGCATAAATTCCCCTGATCTAAATTAGTTCCAATCGAGCTAGAGCTATGTTCGCACACTCGACTACAGATGCACCAAAATAGCATCATAAAAATCCACAGATGATTGTGTAAATGGTAACGAACATGTACACATATCCATCGTCGGCTTTCGTTATGTCAACAATTAGGCGTGACAGATTTTATGATGATTAATTACGCTTTGCTATAGGGCAGGAAAATGGATCTAAATCTACAGCATTTAGTAGTGACAACTAGCTCCTTTGGTAGCTCATCCTTCGATGCGTAAACTGGGTCATTTAGAATCCTACAGGAAACCCTGATTCATGCATCGAGCTGCTCACCATCATTGATGCGTTGGTTAATTTCGGATTGCATAGGAAGTTTGCCTATCTATTTCACGCTTTCTGTGGCACTTCATCATCATCATAATGATCGTCATCACCTTCATCATCAATGCACGTCAGCCGAGGGTGAGAAATACAAAATGATAAGAGCTTAAACATTACAGATTACAAAAGCCATAAAAGTAACATTACGCTAAATATAATATTATTAATCGGTACTGAGATAGATTGTTATGGGTGGGGGAAACTAAAAAGGAGGAGAGGGACAAAGAGACCCACTACACAAACGCCGTTGATGTCGGCTCTTCGCCATCTCAGCCAGTATATCTAGCCAAACACGTTCATCGTCCTTCGGTCCCCAGCTCGGCAGTCTGGAAACACTAACCGACGCCGACTTCGAAGTGACGGTTTTTATCCCTGTCGCCCAGTCATCGCTTGGTCTTCCGTTCTCTTCTTCCATCCAGACTTCGGACGCGCAAGCAATTCACGATGTGGGAGTCAGTCTACTGGCATGTGCAGCAGGTGGCCAAGCCATTGGAGCCTGGTGCGTGTTATAATCGTGCTGAGCGGTTCACTCGCTCTTTCTGCACCAAATACGCTACGCCGAGCATGCTCATTGCTCACGCGGTGTTCCCACCAAATATGAGCTAAGCTGCGAAGGCAGCGATGTTACTCTGATAGGCCAGGTTTCAAAACCGTACAGGGCTGAACAGATGGATGCATTGTAAACTCTGCCCTTCAGGGCGAAAGGTGTCACGCTGGCGCCACAGGTGGCGGTGATTGACAAAAGCGACTCGAGCTTTCGCTATACGGTACGTGATCTCATCTTTGATCCCACGGGTGCCAACATAGCTATCGAGATACTTGAATTTCTGAATGACTTTAGCTGATCACCAATGGTCAGCGCAGGAGCGGGTTCCTGCTAATCTTGAAGAAGAACTTTGCATTTCGTGGGTGCAAAGCATAGCCCGAAACGACTGACAGCTAGTGCACGTTTGTTCAGTGCTACTTGGTACCTTCGGATATGGTTGGCGGCATCCGGTTTCGGATTTGCCTGTCACTGTGGCCAGCCACAGGACACCTGCGCCTACAGAGGCACCATGGGTGGCTTGCGCTGCACCACCCACAGCTCCAACCACACACCCCATATCCGGTGTAAACCGGAAGAAATAAGACCGGGAAGCATGTGGATGGGAGCCACATATCATCAACGGAGCCGGCCCACACTCCTTCACAGGCAAACACAAGCACGCTGTATTTGGGGAATCAAGCGCACACACAAGGCGGTGGCTGGACCGTAGTCCGCTCCACACTAAGTGCATGGAACCGCTCTTCGAGCCTAGCACGGCCACAAGGACCGTGCACTCCGTCCTCTCCAGCAACGACCAACTGTCTCCTGGAGCCAGTATGGACGAGGTAGTGGGTAATAGACAGGTAGGCACCTTGTCAACATACACATCAAGCGCAGCCTCACCGGGGATATCAAGCAACAGCCAATCACATGAGAGAAAGATAACAAGGAAAATAACTCGAGTAATGCATAAGGAAACGTGACAAAAAATTTTTAATTAATGTGCATATAAAATAAGTTGTTAACAAAGGATCCGAGATAAGTTCCGGGGGTCAGAAAGTATATTTTACAGAAATGACACAAACACGCAAATGTTGTCGAAATTAACTCAATTGGCTTAAGCGATGTGTGCAAGTTTATAGAATAGCGTACAGGTAGACATTTATATGAGAAAGAAAAGCATTAGAACAAAATTGAAAATCCGCCACCTGAAATAAAGAGACTTAGCATGCAAGCATGCGGACCTACAAACGCTGCGCTGGTTCTGCCTACATTATCTGCAGGACCCGTCGTCGCTTCAGTACTGGTCCCCAGTGGCCTCGCTCATGGCTCACTAAGCCTGCCTGACTCAGGCACTCGCGACCGCATGTGCTACAGCACCATGCGCTTCATGTCGATGGAGTACAACCCATCGGTGCTTGCCGTTTCCGCACTTGCCGCTTCTTATCTCCATGTATGAGGTCATTCCCCCGCACTTCGGCAACTGCCTTTGTGAACAGATCGCGCAATACACCCCGATCAACCGCCTTCGATTCCCATGATCTGCAGTCAAGATTAGAACGCGAGAGGCTCACTTTAATCATGTCCTGGTAACGTAACTTTAATTTCCCCACGTGCCGCTTCCCAATACTCAGCTGTCCATATACGAGTTGTTTCGGTACCCGCGTCGAATCCATACGGCTCACATGACCGAGCCACATCAGGTGTCTCAGCAAAAGTATGCAGTCCACTGCATACATCCCACTTCGGCGCAACACTTCCGTGTCCGCAAATCTGTCGCACCAACCGATGCGCAAAATCCGTCGCAAACATTGATGATGGAACCGCTTGAGATATCGCACACCCCACCAGTACATCGTCCACGTTTCACTGCCGTATGGAAGAACGGACAGCGCCATGAATTTGTACACCATCAGCTTCGTGCCAATGGTAAGCTGATATTTGTTCCACACTCTGTGCTCTTTCTTCCCGAATGCCGCCGCTGCCTTCGACACGCGGATACGAAGCTCACTCTGTAGCTGCTGATCAGTCGACATCACTCCCCACGTAACAGGAGCGGGAGGTGGTTTCTACTACTTCAGCACCAATGCTGATTCGCAGCAATATTGAAGATTGCACCTCCGGTGAAGGCTGAAAGAGACAGACAGTTTTGCTTGTGTTGATGGTGAGCCCGAATTTGGCCGCTGTCAAAGCCAGAGCACTAGTCATATGCTGCAACTCATCCGCGCTGTGTGAAAACAACGCACAGTCGTCAGCGAACTGCAACATACGGATAGTTGTCTCACAGACTAGAGTTCTCGCACCGAAACGACGGATGTTCAGCAACCCACCATCAATACGGTGCTCCACACGAACACCGTAAGCACAAGTGGCATCAAAAGCACAAGACAACATTGCATGAAGATAAATATTAAACAAGGCAGGAGGTAAGACGCAGCCTGCAAAGTCATCCGAGGTCTGTCCACACAGTTGCACCCTCGCTCGCACACCACTGTGCAGACATTCAATTAAACTTACAAACTTACGCAGACAACCAAACTTACCCAACACCAGCCACAATGCCTCGCGGTTCACCGTATCAAATGCTTTGGTGAAATCAATAAAAAGCGAGTACAATAGCTGGTGTCGTTCTCTGCACTTCTCTTGCAACTGACGAGCCGCAAACACCATATCTATAGTGCTGCGACCCGAAGGGAATCCACATTGCTATTCCGCCACGTTAGGTTCCACAACCTGACTGACGAGGCGGTTGAGCAGGATTCGGGCAATCATCTTGCCCACACAACGCAGCTAGTTGATGTCACGACAATTCATGGTACATTGCTTGCTCCCTTGACCTTTCCACCATGGTACACAAGATCATCCTTCAGCTCAGGAGGCACCTCCTCCTTAATCCATACACGTTGCGCCAAGTGTTGCAGCGCAGTCAACAACGCGGGTCCGCTGTGTTTCAATACTTCAGGCGGGATCCCGTCGGCTCCGGCACACTTGCCGTTTTGCAGCTGAGCAAGTGCTCTCTGCGTCTCATCTAGTGTCGGCGTGTCCGCCAGACTCGTCTTCACATCTTGTTGCTTCAGGCAGCTTAATGTAGGCCAGTCGATCTCTGAACGGTTGTTTAAGAGACAGTCAAAGTGCTTTCGCCAGATCTGCATTATGTCTGCAGCCTGTGTGCAGGTAGCGCCTGAACTACCATCGATCAGCGACCTCAGCGGTTCCAATCTCGGTCCATACGCCGCCTTCAACGAGTCAAAGAATTCCTTGTGTTGACGGCGTTCGGCGTTGCATTCCATCTGCTTCGCCTTCTCCGTCCACCATGGATTTTTTATGCGACGGAGCTCTCGGGTCAGTCGCCGCCGAAGTTTGCGAAACTGACTACTCTTCCCCAAGTCACTGGGATCTGCCACATGTGCAGCAAATGCTGCACTCTTCTTCGACACCAATGCGCCAAACTTCGCATTGTTATCATCAAACCGACCAGGCCGCTTACCGTTTGCGCGCCCGATGGTCTCCTTGGCAGCAGCTGTCACCTAGTAGCGAATGTGGTGCCACAGGTCGCCCACTGTGGCTATGCAGTCTACATCACACAGACGTGCAGCCATCCCCTTCTCCAGCTCAGTACGTTTCGCCAGTACCGAGGGAGTGAATGTCAGCTTTACGCCGATTCACGACGGGAGTGCAATACATAGATTTACGAAAATATATGTACAGTTTGGTCCGAACCAATTTGTGATCAGTGCCACACTCAGCTCCACACAGTACACGTGTCATGCGCACTTCACGCATGTCACGCTGACGTAGGATGAG